TCGTTCGCGGTGATGTCGTGTCACGTATATTTCTGTGGACAATATTCAATTTGAACTTATTTAGAATTGTGTCCGCAGCTATTGTCTATCATCTATTCTTGATCAGAATAGTAACAATAGTCAATTTGTTACTGTAACAATAGTCAATCAGTTACTGTCCTTGTGTAACTGCTGCACTTTGAATGGTCACATCGGTGGCTTGTGACTCGACACTTGGCAACAGCTATAGAATAGAGAGTTAAACAGTCTTTAGAAATAGTTCAATTTGATAATGCCCTAGAATGTTACATGTTCTTTTAGTTGGTCAATCGTCGACTGATCAACAGGTCCAACTGGTATGGACTTGCCGGTTAACGCATACGATAGCTGTGTTAATATCTCCGTATGCACTTAGTAAATTAAAAGAGAAAATATATTGTCTAACCGTAAGCATGATCTTGAAGTAATATACCTGTTGTTGTTGTTGTTATTTGATTAGCAACTGTAGTAGTTGAGGTCACAGCCGAGGTCAAAGCAGAGACCACTAGAGAAATATGCTATCATAACAGCCATTTTAATGCGCACAAGTTTTTTAATTGCTATTACGTTTATCTATAGAACGAAACTAGCTAAACTAATACTTACAAGCCGATAAAAGTTGCGGACTAGCATCAAAACCAGTGGCTATTGCAGGCGCCGCTGCTATAATTAGCATTTGTTGACAAGCTATATTACAGTCTTTTCCAAATACTAATGCAAATTTAACGAGCAAGTTTTGCGGCACCTCAAAAAGAAAATTATTTAGTATTAATAGTAGTTCTCATCGAAACAGCATTTTCCTTACTCCGGATACAGATGATCCCACGACGGATGCATCGATAATCGTTAATTTCCTTTCTTTTGGAAATTTTGGATTTTTCGCCAAAATTTGGTCAATCTAGTTTATAAAAGCAGGAGATAATTGGGGAAATTTCATGAATAGCAACTCACCAAATTTTGTATTAGTGGGTATTTATCCACATCCACCGGACCGATAGCGACATTACTGTCGTCTGGTAGATGAATTGTAACAGAATCCACATTTGAACCTACAGTTATATGCTGTCTTATTTGGATCATATTAATTTCGGCAGATATCATACATACTTTGTTGCGGATCAACAGCTTTTTTGCCTATATACACCGGGATCAATGCCAGTACGACCACGGCCACCACGAATAACAATATTATACATACGCAACACCAACCTATGTAGGCTGTTCTTCTATGAGAACTTTAAACATAAAGCCAGTGTATGGTAAACAGACTCCGAAAATCGTTTCGTCCACTTACCGTTCTGTCTTTGTTCGGAACAAGTCGTTATAGGTGGTTGTTTGCATGAAACGTTCTACGAAATATTAACTAAGGCAACATTTTTACAGTGGTTCACCTTCACAAAGCATTTGCTCATGCTTTGTCACTTTCAAGAACATATCAACTCAGGTATGTTCACAAGTTTTAAAACTTTTCATACATATTCCATCAGAGTTACGAATATTATAAGCTGAAGTCCAAAATACTTCAGAGATCTAAAAGATTTTTAAAACTTTCCAAAGTAAAAGCGTTCTATAAGCCCTTTAGTTTTGTGGACTTCACTTTAAAGTTTTCATAATTCTGGTGAAATCTGAACGAAAAGTCTAAAAACTTCTAAATATATTTATTTACTTGATACATAGTCTTGAAAGTATCGAAGAATCAGCAAAACTATTCATCTATATTATTTAAATAAAAAAATAAATCTCCAATGATATAACACAAGCTTATTTATGATGTCTGCTTTCTATAACCTCTCTTTGTACTTCCTATGTTAATGACAGTGTCCCTATGGCAATTGTGCAGGTAGACGATAATATGCGCACACTGTCTCTGTGTGGGTTTGTTTTCTTTCGAGGATATCCCAATATATTCCTTAAACGATGAAAGTACAAAATCCATCCTTGCACGAAGCTACGAACGGATTGACCTGGTATTTTCTTCTGTCTCACTTTGTAATGATGCAATGTGTTTTCTATTTCGTATATCCGTCGGAAGAGCAGAAAACCACACAGAGACAGTGTGCGCATATTATCGTCTACCTGCACAATTGCCATAGGAACGCTCTCATTGACATAGGAAGTACAAAGAGAGGTTATAGAAAGCAGACATCATAAATAAGCTTGTGTTATATCATTGGAGATTTATTTTTTTATTTAAATAATATAGATGAATAGTTTTGCTAATGCTTCGACACTTTCAAGACTAATCAAGACCACTTATCAGGTAAATAAATATATTTAGAAGTTTTTAGACTTTTCGTTCAAATTTCACCAGAATTATGAAAACTTTAAAGTGAAGTCCGCAAAACTAAAGGACTTATAGAACGCTTTTACTTTGGAAAGTTTTAAAAGTCTTTTAGATCTCTGAAGTGTTTTGGACTTCAGCTTATAATATTCGTAACTCTGATGGAATATGTATGAAAAGTCTAAAAACTTCCGAACATACCTGAGTTGATATGTTCTTGAAAGTGACAAAGCACGAGCAAATGCTTTGTGAAGGTGAACCACTGTAAAAATGTTGCCTTAGTTAATATTTCGTAGAACTTTCATGGAAACAAACGCCTACTCGGGAAATTAAAAGTAAAATTTTCAGTTTGAGAAATGACTTCAGAAATTGCAAAATAGTCAACCTGAAACTTTTCGTGATCTAACTGGGATCAACGGCTCTACAATGTGAGTTTATATTCTCGCTTTTGTCGCGGATTAGATGTGACAATGATGTAAATTACATCAGTGGCAGGATTACATCATGGTAATCCTGCTGTGCCCCCGTCACTGTTTGGAAACAAACTGGAACGCATGGCACTTTTATCGGTGAATTGTAGCACTTTAACACTTTTTCAGCATTTTCTGGTATAAGAAGAACTTCGTGAATATCCTTATTTAACTATTTTAATATATTCTTTGACCTTGTCCCATATAACCGGTTTACCATAAATAATGTCGGTATCTGTACTTTTGCTCTAACTTCGGATCCCCAGAGATTATGTTGTTTTGATCTGAACTTTTTCTTCTGCTATTATTTCCGTCCAAAGGTGTAGCGGAAGTGAGAAGTCCGTTTGTTTTTGGTATTTTCAAATCTGCTCTTTCTCGTGGTCTGAAAAGAGCATTTTTATAGTATCTGCTCAAGACGATGCGCTCGAGAGCGAAGTTTCAAAAATTGACAGTCGCCCCCTTTCCGATAATGTACCCAAGCAAGAAACTGAAAAGGTAACCGATATTTTGATTTTGCAGTTAGGTAGAGAAGAGCAATTATTTCTGATCAAAAGAAAACAAGTCCGGTCGAAAAATCTTTCTTTTTGATGAAGTTATGGAACTTTTACTGGAAGCTCCGTACGCAGAATATATAAAATTAATGGAAAAATACGTGACAACCGACATAACAATTACTATTTCGCCGTGGATTTTGATGTGAAATAAGTTTGAAGTATAGCTAAAAGATCGAGTGAAGTAAGGGCTACAAAATGGCTAATTCAGTTTTTCTTACTTTCTGACAACACATTTAGAAGAAAATCTGCTACGCAGAGATTTTTGATTGATCCGATTATTATACCAAATATATTTCATTTTATTTGGTTCGGATCTTCACCCATTTCTCTTCTTCATCAACGTAATCTGGACCTCTGGAAGGAGATGCATCCTA